ACTTATACACACAAAGTTCTACAATTGATAGAGGCTCAATCTGAAAAGGGTTGACTAAATACATGGAATTAATTTCGATTCGCATTATAAGAAAAATCGTCCTAATTGTAGGTATATCGCGGAGAACCTAACGGGTAACCGGGGCTCCGGCTCGACGTGCAGGAGAAGGAACGGGGTGGTTTTTAGTCAGTAAGAGTCTGACACTCCCTTCCGCCTCACCCAGGCGGGAGCAGTAATTCGATGATTTTCCCCCCTTAAAAAAAAAAAAATTGTAGGTATATACATTAGACACGGATGGTACCGCGGATGACTAAAGGGTTGCCGGAGCTCCGGCTCGACGAACAAGAGTAGGAAGGAACTGGATGGTTTTTAGTCAGTAAAAGTCTGACACGGGAGGGATCCCGCCTCACCCAATGCAGAAGAAGTCAATGGATGATTTTCACATAGACACACATACACACACACACTACTATGATACATTGGTGTGTACAAGTGTAAAGTCATTACATATATTATGTTTGTATTAACGTTTTTCATAACCTGTCTCAAACGATCAATTAACATTGAAAACGACAAACAAACTGGACATTAATGAGACAGTTACTACTATTTACTTTACGAGTTGATGATGTATAACATATAATTATAATGTATAGTCATTCATCATCTAGATTACTACATGGTAGAGATGCTATACAGCTCTAGAGGTATAAACGTAAACAAATCTGATGGCAAAGTTGCAGATAATTTTGGGCGTGAGTAAAGAATAAATGAGTATTATTGCGACTCGGTTTTGATGATTATCTGAAATTTATGATCATGATGTTTTCGGCTTACTCTCGTAACTGTTTGACGAGGAACTCGACTAGTTTCAAGCCATGGTAGAGGCTCATGTTCATGGGTAACATTCCAATTTTACATTAGTTCATAACCGAAACCAAATAAGAGGAATTATTAAGAAACTGGGACTGGGACTGGGACTGATTCTCACAGAAAGCTTAGAAATTAAGCTAATTAGCTTGCTATTGGAAAAACCTAAATAGGTACAGCAGTAGACAAAAATCAGTTAGTGATAATCTGAACCTAAAAGCAATAACCATAATGATGTTTCATTTCTACACCTGCGGTTATATCTGCACGCAGATCCAAAATATCTGTCATATAATATCCGTAACATCTCTTCATTATCCATTATGTATGAACAGTAACGTGTGGTCATTGGTCAGGTAACAGTGACCGCGGCCGGCGCACGCGCAGCCCGACACTTCATTTGCACATGTTCCACAGTTTTTACTTTCACTAGCCGCGAGATTAGAACCACTTTCTGAATGGATGTGGCAATTTTATTGAAAAAGGTCAAGCTGCGAAATTAAAATGTTTTTGTGCAATTTCCTGGGTAAAATGTTATGGCACGAGGTATTAAGTGTACAGCTGTTCTAAATAAAAGTGTTTCATTCTATGTTAAAAAATCTAAGGCCTAAAAGATTATTAAATAGGTAGATGCTTAAAAATTCATGTTTAATTTTTGTAAGGTTGTAAATCATCAAAAAACTCATATGAGTTTTTGGGAAGCATATTCTTCGGCCACGAAATTTGGATAGTCTCAGCCGCGATCTGGCTGATTTTATGTTTTACTATACAAAATATCGAAAAAAGCAAAACTACAAAAGATCAAAAATGCCACATCCAAACGATATTCGTTTCGCGACCACGTCAATGGACGTCCGCGTCCGGCAGATATTCAAAGTTGGTATTTATTATAATCCGTCCATTAAGAAGTCACATAAAATCACTTTCTCACATATTGTTACTGCATAGATATAACTTTTGCTTACTCTTCTCCAATATGGAAATTTGAAGTTTCTAAAGAGATACGTTTCGCCTTCCGTTTCATGAATCAATGTATGATGTAAGAAGTTAATGAATAGATAACTGGTTAGTAGAAATAATTGTTTTCTTTATAGTGGTAATTTACCTCTTTTGAATATAGTCGCAGAATTTGTAGGTCACCTAGGTTTCATTTGAATAGTACCGAAGCTAACTTAATCTTAAGAAATATTAAACTTCCATATTTATTTTTTTCTACAAAGAAATTCTTTTCAGCCCTACGGTTCTACTTGCTTACTTCTTGTTCATTGTTATAAACCATAATATAAATCATAACATACTCTAAAAATCTATAATATTGGTACCCACTCAACATCCAATATAATGTAGTGTGTCAAAACAACGCCACCTACTGCCATTTTTGTAGACTATTAAACAGCTTAACAAAGTGAATGTACTACGATGAGAGTGTGCCTTTGGTTAAACAAGTTCAACATTACTATCATAGATGGCGTTACGTGAGACTTACAAATAATTCCTAATACTTGCACTAGATGTCACTGTACCGTGACGTCACTATTTTAAATGGCGTTATCATTATTTTCTGCAATTGGTTAAATATCTTGCGTTCTTTAAAATGTCTTTAGTCTGGAACGGACTGCAATAGGAGAAACATGTCTATGCAGAGGTCGACTATGAAAGAACTCGGCAAATTAATAGATGAAAGCGCTGGCAGGTATCTAAATAACTGAACTAATAAATCACATAGTATACAAATGATTGAGAAATTAAATATAAGACGTAAAGAGTAGATAAGGCACATTACTTGTCGTAGAAATATTTCCACCAGTTATGATTTCACTTTGAAATAGACATTAATACAGATAGCAGGTACTATCAGTTAAAGCTAAGTAGTTTTATTATTGTATCTAATACGTCAGATACAATATTGCTTACAAAATTTACAATTATATACTTTACTTGGCTCAAAATTCAAATCCGAATCATTTCAATGAGCAATTAGAAATACAACAACATGACCACTTAGTTCAATTAAGTGTAATTTTACAATATTTAAAACAAAAAATATTTATTTGCAGAACAAAAAGTTGCAATCCGGTGAACTATGCTCCTGAGGTTTTGCCCAATACAGCATCAGTGGAGTTACTTGATAATGAAGCCATTGATAAAGCTGCAAAGTATCCCAGGATATTCCGCTGTTTGGAAATTATAGAAGCCAAGAATAAGGATGCTATTATTGATTTAACTAAAGATTAAGCAACAATAAATGCAGAGGTTTTGATAAACATCTTTGTAAACTGACTTCTTTATTATTCTACTTGCCCATATATTACCAAATCCATCACCTAACCAATCATAGATATATTATACAACTAGATGCTGGTATCACGATGGTGGATTTCGTACTTAAACTACACTTAAATACACCAACTTCAAAATAAAATCAGCCACCACGTATAAAGTCATGGAAAAACACGCCGATCAACCTTAAACCGCAAACAAATCAAAATCTGATCTGAGTTAACGAGAAAAATATGAAAAGTGAATATATTTACGTCATCAATCTTAGTCGGGAGAGATTAATGATAATGACGTGGCAGCAAGGTGGCCTGGATGACGAGTGTTATGAGACGGGCTGCCAGGTGTCGCGTCTCCAGATAATATCGTTACAAGTGCCATAGATCACACAGACACGCGCTACTAAGGACCAGATTCATAATTTTAGAAGCCGATGCTATCGCTCAATGTTCTTGCTTCCTGGGATTAACGCTTTATAGTGCTGTTAAAATGTTGTATGATGATCCATGTGCTGCAAGTTAGCTTTAGAGAATCTTAGAAAATTATTTATTTATAAAATGAGTAATCTGTAGCAAATGATGAAACTAAATATTCATTCGAAAATTAAAAATAATCTTACATCGTAAATTGTCAACGAGTTCCTTATTCCAAGAGTGTTCCCAGTATTATGGCGATAAGTTTACCTCAAGGTATATGAGACAAAAATATGTCTAGTGGAAGCACTTTACTTTGTCACGTTATGTGAAATTCTGGAGACATCTTGTTAAGTCTAACGTACTTAGCAAAACGTAACACAGAAATTACTTACTCCAGCGCCGACAATACACATAAAGACGAACAACTTCAAAAGCCCAATGCTCCAAGTTGCTCACTTAAAGCAGGTACTAATAATTTGTTCAAATTAAGAGATTTCACTTAGATCTGTTGAACGCATAATTGAAGTCTGTAAGAGAGTTTTAACGGTCGGTAATTAGATAAATTTGTGTATCTGCACGCCCTCTGTCGTCGACCGCAGCTAACAAAAATTTACACAGCGTTCCGAATTTTATCTGCAAGTTAATTGGGCTCGAAGTTTTTGGGATTTCAGAGGTTTACGAGGTAATGTTAAATCATGTGACAGTTAAAATGTACGTTACTATTTACGGATAATGGCAAAACTCATTTACCAACTGAAAAATTATGACATTTCAATGTACAGGATGTATAGATACTTGTACAGAATAAATTTACGTTAAAACTAAAGATAATACAATAGACAGCCATTAGTTTAATTCCTTCTACAAACAATGCGACACAGTAAACCTTTTTGCCGAAACTATGCCAACTTTACCCATCGCGATAAATATAAACAAAACAACGTTAACCATTTTATCGTTAAGAAAGTAAAAAAGTCTTTAGAGTTAATAAAGTAAAACAAACAGACAGACAATGTAAACGTAGGTGCGATTGCGGCTTGCGCTTGAAAGCAATTCCTTGTCCCACTGAGTGGCGCAAAGAAGCAATTAAGATGAGAAAACGCTTGTACACGCCCAGCGCTGTACTCGGTTAAGCTGCGTCCATCATATGATTCCAAGAAAGACACAATATACTGCAACAAATATTTTCGTTCACAAAGTGCTCTGAGAGTTAACATTTTGACTTTGTTTGAAGAACTTTGTTCTATTTACGTTTGAGCATTTCTTTAAATTAAGTAACGTAGCTAACATTTTCAACTGATATTAAGTTTTCTATCGTCTTATAAATTCAATTTCGCTATTCAATAAAGTTCTCATTTCTTTCCAACTTCTTCAGTGTAAGTATTCTAATAAATCTTTGAGCTGGTGTTTTATAAAAAAAATATAACTTAGTTTCCAGTCGATCATGAGAACTATCCCTTACATTCCAAAAGTTGCGACAATGGCCCATAAAATCGTGGCTTTCTCATGTAACTTAGCTTTAGTTATGTATGCACGTGAATCTACTATCCTGGTGAGCTGTCATAGTTCCTCGAGAGCTGGCTGCGACCACTCGTCCTAAGTGGTGACATGCTGAGGCACCGGGCCTTCGTCTTACTTACTGTGAGTCGCTTTTTATTGTTTGCAAAATGTTTTCTTTGGTTGAAAGCTTGTCTCAAACTTCACAGATGTCAGTTGGCGTCTTTTGTTTTAAAGTGACTCGGAGACTGTATCTGCTTGCTTGTTTCTTTTGAAAGACTCATTTAAATTTTATTTAAGTTTTCTTTTGCACGTTGGTTATTTGCGATTGCCAAATCAACTGCTGATTCGTTTGGTTTTACATTGGTTTCTAGAATTGTATTAGTGTGGTAGGTATAGGTAGTTTATAATGTAAAACTAAATTTTCAGCTACATATTCAGCCACAGTACACAACGTTTTCCTTGAGATCACTCTATTAATAAGTTAAAATTGTAGTTGTGATGTGAAAACTTCGTTTTAAAATGTGTTGATTACCGATACCAGTAGTAAAATGAAGATTAAAATATAATCAGATTTTTTTCCCTTTAGCTCTTCAATTTGGCCATTCAAATATCTGCAGAACAAACAATATACTCCGATGGCTGGATCCCGATGTCACATAATGATATTTATGAGCAAATAAGAAGAGGAACAATAACAACTACTCAATATCCTGTTTACCTCAGTACGAAGACATTGGATGATTTTGATAATAATCTGAATGTTGAACAAAGGTCAATAAAGCAGAAAGCAAATGATGTATTTAAAGACATTTCAGCAATGTCCAAGGAACCTGAACCAACTAACATTAAAATAGACAAATTCGATCAAACTACAGTTTACACTAAAGAAAATATAAGGAAAGCTAAGAAGGTATGGGATCCCAATATTGATACTAGATTCGACAATGTTTTGGCTTTGCCAGAAGTCGATTCCAAGCCCGATGTGTCAACTGAGAAAACCTTCGATGTTATAACAGCTGCAACATATACTTACGAAGTGACTGAGCGTGTTGATACATCGCCTGCCGAAGATAGTTACACAACAGAAAGTGCCGGGTACCAATATAATCCGCCCACTGACGAAAACCAAAATCTAACGTCTACATTCTACAGAATCCTGTCCAAATACAATATCAAAACAGAGGATAAACTGCCAAACTATGAATTATCACTGCAGCGTAAAGTTCAAATTCCCACACGAGACACAAATAGAGTGCTTATACCGTATAGATATAACAGTTTAAATCATTTGCCTGCAGACCCATTGCTCGCCGTTTTCCTATCAAACTATGGGTTCTATTTGCCAAGTTTGTATGGGATCAAAGCTAATTACAATAATTTGTACGGTTATTTGACCTCTAATAACATTCATAATAACAAACCCTTCGGTTTGTATAAAGTTTTCTCTGATACTGATTCATGGAATTAGTAGTTCATCAGTTCATGTTGTTCTTTGGTAATTATAATTTATTTGTTTTGTTGATGCTAAAATTAGTTTTGAAGTGTTTGTTTAACAAACTTATATTTATTTATAACTCTCGTATTTGTGTTCGTGGACTATATTATTATGTTGCGAAAAATCATTGTTCAAATTAAGTGCTTAGACTTTCCCAGACTGTACATTGGTGGTTGCAAATTACCTACAATTCTATTCCAAAATGACAAAACGTACTGTTTATATTTTTTTATCTTTCTATATCAGAACTTTCAGTAGCAGCCCGAAGCATAGATAACTCGTTTTATTGGTTAAATGGGATTAAAAACATAACCGACAAAAGGGGGGTAACCTGTCCCACATCGGAGGCAAACAGACAGGAACTTATTATATTGCCGACCTCATTTCTGATGTTGAATCACTGTTCCAATATTATCTGTTCTTATACAGAACATAAACAATATTTACATTATCGAGGTTATGAATATCTGGTGTGAGCATAATTTAATAAAAAGTATTTAATAGGCAAACTTACCGTAACAACTTTTAATCAGCGAAGATAACTAACCTAACATAAAGCCTTTAAAATCCTTCACCATTACAGAATAACAAAAAATTGGCAAAAGGACATTTTTAAAAAAGCAATCCGAGTACCGCATCCACTGCATAAAGCGCGTCCAGTCAACAATGGACGTTATGTGTGATATCTTAAGATTGTAATTAGATCGGGCTCGGTTAAATAGAGGCTGGGCGCTTGGAGTAGTTCCAACAGCCACAGGCGTGACAGTTTCATAGCGCGCTGTGAGAAGTTGCCTTTGTACAGGAGCCAGTTTGCACCACTTTTTATAATGCTTTTTACTCGTTAAACGTCCCGGATTTTGTTTCTGAGACTTTAAATCTTGTTAATTTTGGATTGTTTGTAAACTTTACTCAGCCATATTAAAGTTTAGCAAATTATAGGACACTTTTGTACGCTGCTGCAGTTATTACGTGTTCTGTTGTTAGCACCGAGACTTGAATTGTAATTACCTCCTTTGTCATGTAAATGTACGTACAATTCGACACAAATTGTAAAATAACACTGAAACCTATTCAATTTGCGGCTAGCTCGCAATTGTGTTTTTTGTCTACAATATTGTTGTGTTTGCATTTGTTGTAATAATACTGTGTAAAATATTTCGACATTACAATATTTCGTTTTTATTTGAAGTAAGCAATTTAGGTTAGAATACATCTCATCAAGACATCACTTCAAACTTAATGTTGGAGTTGACGAGGGGCGCGGGGCACGGGGGTCGCGGGGGGGGGGGGGGCATGCTATGTCAAGGCGTCGATCGGTTCGCAATCAGGCGGCACATTCTTATAAACATATTTTCCGCATGGAGGCCTCCAATGAAGGAAACTTAATAGAATTGATCGTAGAAATTTATTCCGTGATTTAGTTTATGTCTCACGACGTACTTCGTTTAATAAACATGTCTTGATGTTTTAGTATTGTAATAAATTAACCAACGGGAACACGTTTATGGTTCAATTAAACCACTTCATTCATTGCGTGTAATGGTTATGTTAACGTTCTAATACAAAACCAATTTTCGTATTCATAAGTCGTAATACAGACATGTTGGCACCTAGCTCGCCGGCTTTCATTTAAAAATTGAGCTATAAAAACTGTGACTGCATTTCAAGAAAATCGTATTGGATATTTTAGAACTTGTTCGTGATTTAGCAATGCAGTGTTATACGAAATGCTAGTAGCTTTATTTCGAAGGATTTCTGTGCGGAATGTATTGTTGGAGAGGCGCACAGTTGTGTCCAATGTCCATGTCCGGGGAGTAACTCAGTACTTGTGAATATTGTGCCACGCAAACAGCGCAGCGCTGGAATCACTCCAAGCCAATAAAATGGTGGCCGTGCTCAATTTGTTACTTCATACGAGAATACGAGAACTGCACACTTTTAATATAGTTCGCATGCGTGCATTCTTTGTTTGCAAAGTTTATGCGAAATACAGGATAACGGGTCCATAGAAAGCAATGTTGTTTTCGAATGGAACTACGTTTCAGCGGAATTAAATTAATTTGACTACGATATTACTGAGTTGTTTGGTTAACAGTCTTGTTAAACACGAAAATACATTGTTCAAACATGAGTTGTTTGCATTTCAAGATAATAATACGAATAAAACATTATGTAGGTAATAATACTGTGGAATTAAAGTGTGCAAATAAAGTCAGTTCAGAAAAATCAAATAATCTGAACATAAGTAAAAAGTATAATGTAATGAAAATATAGTTCTTCTGAACAAGTTCGTAGATAAGTTAGTGCAACTGTTAAGTACAAAAGCTGGTGGTTATTGTGCGTAGTGACCGGAAAAGTTGTATATTTTCCGCGCTCCGGACAAATGCCGCAAATGTGTTCCATTTCCGAGCTGACACTGTTGCGATGGGAATACTTCACAATATTACATATTGTAACAAATTACATTGTAACGTATTTGTGTATAATGTGTAACTTGTGCGGTTTTGTTGAAAGAATGTTGTTGCAGATTCCTTACGTACTTTAAACTTAGTTTGTACTTAAATTAAGCTTTAGCTTACTATTATTAAATGTACTAACTATAAAAATAATACAATTATATGAAATTTTGTCACACAACCTTTCCTTTCGCCCTCAGTTCGCCAGATAACTGACGATAACTAAATATGTGCAACATAAAATCATAACCCACCTTTGGCATAGTCAACAATAAATAAATAAATAAATAGACTATAGTATAGACCATCATTTAAATAAAAGTTTTAACAATGATCTTACCCATACCTAAGTCCTACAGAAAATTTATCCGCCGAGTTTCCTTTATATTTTCTTTTTTTTAAAGAACAATACAGTGCATGCATAAACCGGAGTGTGTAGTAGTACGTGTGGCCGTATACGTTGCAATGTATCGACTACACATACATACATACATATAGTATCGAGTGGGTTGGTGCTGGTGGACTGGAAGAAATGTTTGTCTCCAATACGTAGTGGTTTATTCATTAGACCGGCATCGTTGGGAGCGCGCCCAATAAACTGCTGATAAAACTCCAACTGGACCAACCACACTTTGTTCTACGGAACCCGCGGGTGGTTGAAGTTACATGCTTTTTGGAAAATTCATGTTGGGTGAGTTCCCAGTGAAGTATAATATCTTTTCTTTTTTGGGATAAGCCGGGTAACGAGCCGACGAATCACCTAATGGTAAGCAATCGGCATCACCCATGGACACCTGAAACATCAGAGGCGTTACAAGTGCGTTACCGGCCTTTTGGGGATTAGGAAATTGAGGATTGTTGGGGATTCAGGGATTAGGAAGATTGTGGAGGGAGTAAAGGTAATTGCGTCTCCGGTTACCTCACCACGTCGCTTTTCTGTGAGGACATGGTATCACTCCTGTCCGCTCGAGCCGCCCCATTCGCGACGAAGCGTGGCTCTCGTACACATACCCTTTTTTGTACCAGCGATCATTAGAGCGACATAAGTAGATACAGTAACCATAAACCTTTTAAATAGAAACCATTAATTAATTCTGATGATAGAGACTATTATCTTTCATTGGTAAGTTTACTAACATTTAGTAATTACTAAAAGTGTTGCTGTAATGGTATCTGGACCGCCTCTAACATAATAAAATCGCTTATGTTTATGTACTTGTACCACAGTAACAAACTTATTGCTTCTCTCGATGTGAAAACTTCAGATTTACTTCTTTTTATTTTGTTCCCAACTTGGTTTACCGACTTTAATGAGCCTGATGAATCGTTTATACTTAGTATTACTTAGTAGAACTACTCAACTAAATCAATACTCGCTGCAGGACGCGTTTCGCTTCAACTTTCTAACAGATTCTTTCAGAAAATAAATTAGTAAAGTACATATGTTAAGCTACTATGTTCGATGGTAGGAATCGACTACCTCGATAGCCGAGTGGTTAGTTATAGTTCCCGGGTCGGGCAAAGTATTGCTGGGTTTTGTTTTGAAATTGAAACAAAGGCTGGAATTGTGCCCAGTATATGCCAATATAGGCTCATCCGCTATTACATGGGACTCATAACATAAATAGTGAAAAGTGGGTGTTACATTGTGCAGTGGGCATTAAGTGCCGTAATGTGCACCTCTGCCTACCCATTCGGGAATAAAAGGCGTGATGTTATGTTATGTGTTCGATGGTTATTTTATAAGATTTCTTCTCATTTTTACGCTCATTATTTCTATAAAATTTTACATACCTTGGGACTGTTATAGTATAACTAGAACTTAGAATGATATTAAAATGTACACCTCTGTTTAGCTCCCCAAGGATCACAAATCATACCATTATATTATATATCAAGAAAATAAAATTTTGTTTGACATTTTAAAATTCTCGTTGCACACCAAACCAAACCAAACTTCCCTCATCTATTCACAAGTTTCTTATATAAAATTCAGAATATAAGACAGAGGATAATAAATTCAGTCGCAGTACATCATAATCCCGCCACGGTTACCAGCTCAGCATGCAGACCACGCGCCTCCATCCAAGCCCTGCCATTTGTCACACAAATGTTAGCATTTAGACGACGGATCGTATGTGCAAGTTTAACCTAACTACACATCAGGACAGATCATATTTTTATATATTTACTAACTTTTGCCTGCGGTTTCACTCACGATCTTCTAAAGAGTATATATAAAAAAGATATACGAGTTTTGTATTAGTCGCAAATACACAGTTTGAGAGTAAAGATCGGAAAAGGAGTATCCTCCGACCAGGCGAGGTGATCGTACCTCGAAGGCTTTCTGCCAAATAATTGTTAGTTGGGATTTTCTATCCGTGTTAATTCGCATATAAACTTCACATGTGCGATAAAGGATTGTGCGATGTCATCCGTTGATTTGTTTTTCATCGATAGTCTTTTGACGTGTGTCGCCACAACAGAATACCAATTTGTAGCCTTGACGATTAATTCCGAAATTCTCCATACAAACTTCCACCCCCCAGTTTAGTGAAAAGAGACAAAAATTAGCTTATATCACTGTCAATCCTTTCAACCATCTTCATTTAAAAAATCATAACAATTTCTCTCTCCGTTTTGCCGTGAAAGACGAACAAGTAAACAGATAGACCAGACACACACTCTTTCACATTCACAATATTAGTATGGATATTATTTTCTCCCTACATTTACAATTCATAACGTCACTGAAGAAATGTATCAGTTTCATCCATGTATGCTCATATTATGGTACATTAAGATTCCTTTTATCATCGCTTGTAATATCGAGGCGTATTATTTTTATTATAAAAAGCCTTTTAGCCGTCTTCTACTAAGAATTTATAGACAAAATAGCTGCTTGAATATGTCAGATATTCATTTTATTTCATAGACTTGTACTGTCCTTAAGCAAATGTAGCTTGTTATAATAATAATGTCCATACATTATTTTATTTATATTAAAAATAACTAAATGACTTCTGGTCATGACATATCCTGATTATTGAACCGACATTAAATATCAAAACTAACAACCTGCGGAGCAAACATGTAAAACCACAGATTTATTTGGGAATGGTGCCTCATTAAACCCAAGAAACGACAGAGCAAATATTTACTTCGTAACTAATTTTTTCATTCTGCCGCTACATACAACACAATGACTATATTGTGTCATTAATTTATTGCTTTAAAAGAAATATACTTTAAATTGAAATAAATACTGAGTGAGTATTTACAAGGGCAGCAGTGTAACGTATACGTTTATGTTTCGCCGGAATGCAACTAGAGCCGCGTGTCCCGGCGTGGTGCGCGGCGGCCCGGAAAATGTAGTTTGCGCTACACTTTTTGCGCTTTTTTCGCTCACGAGTTGAGCGCAACGAGCGATGGTTTGGAGTGATGCCATGTACGATAAAAATCGCCATTTTAGCCTTAAATGGATGGATGGCTTTGTTCTGTCGCAGTTAACTTGTTTAGCCGTGACGTCACTCGATTAATAAATAGATTATCCCCATACAGAGTTATGTCAGGGATACAAAGGACTATTAAGTCGGATAAAATGGAAATATGCGCCGAACTAGTGCAGTGTCTATACTTTAACAAAGAATAAAGGTTGCATTAAGCTAACGTCCAAGTTTCGAGCCGCGCGATATTTCATCCATTGTTTCAGCATTTTTACTGTGAACATCAACACAAGAACAACTGCTCCGAAACATTTACAGTTAGCTGATGAATTTTTAAAACAGTTTTAATGGCATTTCTAAACAAGTTAAGTCAGGGCCCCATTTTAAAACCATCAAAGGTAACATTTAGCATAACTTAGTAGGTTCGTTTTATTTGTAAGCCTCCGTTTGTATTTGTAACAAGACGTAATCTCTTGTACCGGCGCGTTCTACATCTTACCAACTTTAATATTTCCCCTATAAATATTCAATGGGGATTTTTCATTAAGATTTTTTTGTATCATTAGCCAGGTTTATTATTTAGAGAGGAGGGCAGCCCTCGGGTCCTCTCTCAGAGGGTCGGCTAAGTTCACTCATAAAATTCAAATTTAACGCTAATACTTTTCTTATTTGGACTTTTTCTCATCGTAAACATTGGGCAATGCATAATTTAGCACTTCCTGACGGTCGCTGTAGTTATTATTACACTCATTTATTATTTAGGAGCAAACCTTTACAGATCAGGGATATTATGCCTTTAGACTTTGAACGGAAAATGTAATCTTTAACCACGCAGAAACCGATAGCTAGATTCATCTGCTTTGTTATAGTTATTATTTTTTTGGCGACTAGATTTGTCTCGTAAATACATATTATATGCTAGACACAGAATTTATGTAGTTCAATAGACTAGACGGTAACTTTTGGTTTCAATACACTTAAAACACACAAACAACAATAACTTCATAACATTTCAACATCAAAACATTGCACAAAAATGTTTGCCCATTGAATAACATTCGCGTCTAAAACAGACAGCCATAAGACTCGCGGGGGATTTGAAGATGCTTTAAAAAAGGGGAGTGTCAAGGGAATGGTACAAAACAAA